GATTCAATTCCATTTCCTTAATCAAAAAACCAAACCAAACAAAAGCATGTTATGTTTCTCTGTATCCATCAGATTCAAATTTCTAGCAATATAATTTTGGTTTGTGCAATGTTTTGATTTTTTAAAAGGTCATGAATGGTATATTATGCTAGGATAATGGTGAGTGCAATTTATGTATTTCTAGCAGAATCCCTGGGAAAAGCTATGGACAGAAAAGATGCAGAGAAGATCAGAGTCACAGACTTTAGGGAAAGACAAGAGGTTGAGGGAACCCCTACATAGTGGAGAAAAGCAAAGAAAGTAATTCCCAAAATTGTCCTGTTTTTATTTTGTTCTATCAAACAGGGCACTAAGCACCTAAACTCTACTTTCCCTTTCCCCATGGCAGGGGTACTTTGCAATCTGTACAAACGATATACAGCTATCACAACAGTCGCCTGTTTGCTGAAAATTTGAATAAACTAAAGTAGAAGTAGACACTACCAGCCTGTTGTTGCAGGCCTGGAAAGTGAACCAGCTTTAAGGTAACAACATGGTATTTGTACCACATTGTACTTCTCTGCTACAGGGAAATGAATAGTTCCCTCCGTAAATAGGTCTCCCGGCTGCAGGACAAGCTCTTCTTCTTATTGCCCCACTCATCTCCTACTACCCATATCAGGCTATAACTCCACTAAAGTTTTTTATCTGGCAGATCTTGGGCTTCTTCAGATCTTTTTCAAGTGCCCAGCATGGTGATATGTGGTTGCAACCTTGAGGATTTTTCTTTTTTAAGTGCTACTCTTGAAGAAGAAGCGAGAGGCTTAATAACGCCCACCAGGACTAGCCAGTCAGCACAGCCTGATGGGGAAGGTGGTTCCATGACAGTCACAAGGACCAGGCTACAACAGAAACAACAACTTGCTCCTAGACTGTATTGTTTGTAAATTCGTACGTCTTTCCAAAAAGAGATGGCTCAGCATCTCTTCTCCATAAGGAGCTAGCAGCATGTTCTGGGATAGGTACTATGAAGAGAGAACAGAAAACGGAAATAATTCAACTTTCATTTCCCACCCAAACTTCATCAGGACTGTACCCTGTGAGATGTTACTATGTCTGTGAAATCATAAACAAAAAATTAAAGATTTCCAGATAAAGTCCAAGAAGGTTCAGAAAAGATATCTCACTGCAAACTTCATTTGCATTGAGGATGAAAACAAACCAAACAGATTCAACAAAATGAGCTACAAGAAAGTGCAAGTATCTCAGAGTCTTACAGGAGACAAGTGTCTTCTCTGATTATCCTAATGTGGTTCTTCCCTTACTAAAACCCTCACCTGAGAAGTTTTAGTCTGAACTTTTGTGGAAAAAACGAGGGGCAGAAGAGTGTAGGCTCACAATTTCATGACTAGGAGAGAAAATCAGATACATTCCTAACAACTGGCCAGACTGAAACTTTCCTACATTTCCTGATCCACTTTGTTATAAGTGAAGACTTCCTTGAATTTCAAGTTTTAAAATTTAAAAAAAGGAGAGCAAACAAAGCTATTTACTTTTTCATTAATTCCTGCAGCCTCACCATTAAATAAGTATAATTCTCTTGTACTTTTCTTTCCTCTCTTATTTAACTTGAGAGGTGAGATGGAGAAATCAGATCCTTATAAAGTATGAAGTATCAAGTATGGATGTGCTGAAATATAAGTGATCAATAATTAGAGATTTCTGCAGGCAATATTTTACATTCCTTCCCAGATTTAAGAACATCCTCTCCGCAAATCTAAGAGGGCTCTTCTGCTCCGTTCTTTATAGCCAGCATTCCTGAATAGCTTTACAACAAAATGCTGGATACATCTGACAGGTGCAATAACTCGGAAAAATGACTTCATGCTCTTCATAAATAGCCTCTGGGCAGTCATTTAAACACAACCACAAAACATCTCCTGCAGGTTAGAATTACCAGCTTCACAGGAGCAGTGATACAGAGAGAGGCTGAGAGTTACAATATTAAGGACAATCAAATGATTAAGCCATTAAATAATTTTAAATACTGGAAAAAGAAATATCACTTGATGAATACCTTTCTAAATGAAAGCAAATAACATAGAGGCCTGAAGAAAAAGAAAGGAATCATTTGGTACTCTTTAATGCTGCTGCTCCCTTCACCTGGGGCTGCAGGAGTCTTTCTGCAGTCTAATGATGCAGATAACTTGGCATATTATTAAGGCTCAGCAAAGCACTGTTCACACAGTTAGTTTGGGGGCCATCGAGGAGCTTGGCACATGATGTGAATTACAAAGAGTGAGAGAGCACTTGAGAAGAATTCAAAGAAGAAAAGAAAAGCTGTTGGGGGGTGGAGAAAAAGTGGGCTTAGTGGAAGAAAGCAGAACACACCACCCTTCCTTACTGGAGTGTTAAATGAGAGGCAGAGCTTCAGGATTTGCCAGTTTTAAAAAATGCTTCTTGTCAATGTTAGAGGCAGGCGATGCGTGCTGCCAGAAATGAATCTGAAGTGCACAGAAATCCAGATTGTCAGAGTTGGAAGAGTTTGGTTCCTGGGGTGAGGGTAGAAAGCAAGAAGGAAGGAAGGAAAAAATATTTAAAGACAATGGCTTTTATTTGCTTCAGCTTAAAGATCCAAAGCGCACAAAGAAAAAAGGATCGAATTCATCCCAATCTCACACCTCTTCCCTGCTCTGAATTTCCCATGGTGTTCTGGATGTAAAGCCAGGTAATCATATACCAAGGCATAAATCACTACTTCGCAGTGGACGCACCCAATTCTGATTGGAAATCCATGCAGACGAAATTGAAGTATTTCCTCATAGCTTGCTGCTTGAGTGAAACAAGGGTTTGGCCTGGGAAATGACAGTTCTCTAGGACAGGGAAGGGCAATTGGTGACTCTTCAGATGCTGGATTGTCAGATGTTGTCAGCCCTAGCCAGCATAGCTAATAGTGAGGCAAGATGGGAGGTGTAGTCAGCAACAGCAGGAGGGCCAGAAGTTGCAAACCCCTGCCCTGGGCTTTGCTGGTGTGGGGGACATGGGCTGGGCAACAACTCGTAGCATCCCTGACTATGCTAGCTAAGGCTGATGGGAGTTGTAGGGCATAACATCTATGGTTTGAGATAATACTACTTATCCCCTTTTCCTGCTACATTCAAGCCAAGCCAGTGTGCTTGTCATACTTAGGAATGCTGTAGATTGCCAACAGTGATGAAGAAGGGCAGCTGGAGTTATAAGGAGGCAGGTTGAGATCTGAAAGGGAATGCCAAAAGTATAAATGGAAAGAAAAAATAGATGCACAACCATGTGCATAAGGGAAAGCATACAGATCACACATGTAAGGGACTTGGCTTTCCTTGATGCTCAGTAGGCCAATGAACCAGCTGGGCTCCTGCAACTGCAGATTATACAATAGAATTACTGAAGGCGGATAACATGATGACGTCTGGCATTTTGCAAACAAAAAACACAGCTCTTCACTATCAATATGTACTAGGCAGATTTCCTACGGAGGATGAGAGATGAAATGAGATAATGTAATTCTGGCATTCAGGTTAATCAAATTTTATACTGAAATCTTGTGCAACTTAAAAACGGCACTCTCAAAAATCAATAACGCTCTGTAATTAAATGAAAAGTAAGTGCATCTCTTCTACCCTACCATGTCTCAGGAGACTTCCTGGGCAGTACCACTTCCAAGTTACAACAGATTTGGAAAAATATATTCCTCCATCTCAGCTTTTTCCAGCAGCTGAGATTCTTGTTGGGTAAAAAGTAAAGTTGCTGGTCATCCATTCTGAAGATGGGATGCTGCATTTGGTGAAGGGCTTGGTATAAAACTCACAGAGGAAAAGCGATTACATTCACACTGTCAACTGCAGTAATCAAACAAGAATGATAAAAGTGCTTCCAAACCCATGACCTTTTAGAAACTGCTATTCAGGAAAAAAGATGCTATTGATTTGCCTAAAGGCTTCACTCTTAAAAGAGTCCAGTTGTAATTAAGAAAAGAAGAGTGGAGAAGATGATTCCTTGCACCGCTGTGAACTAGCAGTACCTAGCGGGCAAAGGTGATCAGAGCATAAACAGCTAGATGAAACCAAAGCAAATGGCTGTTCCTTAATATATGCTTATATTTGGGGTTTCCTAAAGTCCTCAACCATGCAGCCCAAGGATTTCCTTGGAGCTGGTCCAAGATTCTGCTAAACTGAATGACAGAAGTACCAGATTAAGATTAAGTTAAATACTTATGGCATTCAAACTGTGCAGATTTCAAAATATAAAGATTAAACAAATAAAGGGTTTTTTTTTGCAATGTTTCAAAATGTTACCATGGAGTAGAAAGTGGAAAAGGAGCACCAAAGCTAAAACAAAAAAGGGCAAACAAAGCATGATTGGGTGTTACAATAAGGAAAATAAACAACTCACCCGTTCCCGCTGGAAAACAGAGGATACCTTCAGCAGCAAATTTTACAAACCCTGTAATATTAACCTGAGTACAGATATTCAGAAATAAACTTTTATAGTTTAATGGGTCTCAAACAAACTCTAGTTAGAATTCTACCAAGGGGGCCAAGCACTGTCTCTCCGGGGCCACCTGCTGAAACTGACTAGTCAGGTAGAAGTAGAAGCACTGCAATGAAGTACCCTCCACTCCCAACTCAGAAGGTTACCATGGTCAGTTGTACTGATGGCTGCTGAGATATCCAGATGTATCAACAGGACTACATTCCCCCATCTCTCTCCTGACATAGGTCATCATACAGAACAACCGTGACTAGTTTTTTCCTGTACCAAAACCTGCCTGGACCCCAGCTGAAATACATCCAGATAAACAGTCTCACCAAAGCGCACCTGGATTTTATGTTGCATTTTATATGAATTTAATTTTTGTCAGCACTGTTTTAGTGTATAGATGGACTACCAATTTAGTAAATAAATCCAAACATGCATACAAAAAGGGATAAGCAGTATTAAAATAAACAGATATGGAGAATGGGCATAAGGCAGGCACTTACGCAGTTCTTCCCTGTGCCTCTCAGTCTGTTCAAAATACTGGCGAAGCTCTTCTGTAATTTCCATATTGCTCAGGTCATACTCAATTTCCCCTTCGCCTTCAGATTCCGTATCTGTTTCAGACTCCCTTTCCACTGCTTCTCTTCTGCCAGTATTAGGAGGGGCACGCGAAGGTCGGGGAATGTACGGGGCCTTGCTGCTTCTGGTAAAGGCACAATAGGATCCGTCTTCCATGGGGCCACCTTCATCCCAGTCATGGTAACGTTTACTGGGATGATTTTCAGAAGAAAACAGTGATGGATTGTACAAGGATGCCATGGCTTTCCTGTAAGCCATTTTGTGCCTGCACATCCACTCCATGGCTTGATTATAATGCTTCCAGTATCTTGCGTACACTTTATGGGAATACCATGGTCCTACATCTTGAGGCATTGGATTTTCCTTTTAAAAAATGATAAAATTCAAGGATATAAGAACCCATTCTAAAAATGTTTTAAATAGAAAAATTTCTCACTTTATTTAGAAAGAAAAAACCTAAAACCTGTCACATAAGTAGACAGTCAGTATGCAAAATAAATGGAATGAATCATGCAATCCAACTTTGCCATTTATTTGGAAAAGACGCACCTGAAATATAACCTGTTTGCTTTCACGGGGGAACTCAAGTATAGGGGACTCTGCCAGCTTTCCGTATGCACCTGCAAACTTTGGCAGCTTCAAGACATCTAATGACCACATTAATATCTGTCAGCAGAATAACATTCAGACCAAAATTAAAGACAAAAGAAAAAGAAAGAATGCTGCCCATGTTAGTATTTATTAGAGAAATGAGGAGCTGGAGACATCAGAAGGCCAAGAGAAGAACAGAGGGCAAGGCAAATATCGAGTGATACAGCAGGAGGGATGTCACATTACTATATTGATCTCTTGAGGTGGCCTGGCAGCCTTTAGAAGTCTATCTTTTCTTCAGGTGATTTTCTGGAAGGAAAGGCCAGGAAGACCTGTAAGCATACTAATGCAAGGCTAAGCGCCCCTCTGGATTTGTGGGCTTGTTGCGAAATTTTAAAAACTTTCCTGGGCACAACCATGAAATGGCTGTCATAAGTGGGCATGATTAGTCACAAAAGGCAAGGAACTTACTAAGAGGAGCTTATGGGAAGTTCATGGCAGCAGCTAGAGCCTTCCATCTCACCTTAAAGCAATCCCAGCTGCAAGTAAGAAAGTAACAGACTTTTTAAATATAAAAATGGGTAAGAGTAGAGTGTCTTGGCTGGCAGCAAGGAAGATGTCCAGGGAAACACTGATGCCATGGGCACCACTATTGGATGCTAATGCAACCCTGTATCTGTGTTCTCCTGGCAGAAACCCCTAAGTTCCATCAAGGAGCACATTCAAATAAGGGCCGAGTCCATTTTTTAGCCAAGTACCAACGTCCTTAAGGGTAACAGTAGCACCTTTCATATACAACTGGTGGGAGAACCATTTGTATGTCTCCAAAAATGCCCAGTTAGGTGGTACTACATTTATGTGATTTGCAAGAGACTTTGATTTTGCAATGACTGGCAGCTTCCCTTAGTTTACCACAAGTATTTCATTTTAATTACATTTTTATCCCACATTTTTCTTCTTGAAGGGAACCCAAGATGGCTTACATGGTCCTCTTTTTCTCCATTTAACCTTGTCAAGTAGGTTAGGCTGAGAGTCACTGAAAGGCCCAAAGTCACTCAGTGAACTTTGTCTCCATGTGAGGACTAGAATTCAGATCTTGCAGGTCCCGTTCCAACACTCTGTTACCCCACAGCCTCTAAACTGAAAACAGCCACCATGTGAGCATAAGAAAAGCCATCCTGAAACAGGCCAGTGGTCCAGACAATCAAGCATTCTGCTCACATGGCAACAAACCAGCAGTATACAGGATCCTTCAAGCAGGAGGGGTACAAGAGTTCCACTTGCCCAAAGTCCTCAGCAACTGGTATATACAGGCAAAATGGAAGTAGGACAAAGCCAGCAAGGCTAATAGCCTTTGATAGCCGCTGCCTCCTCCATGGATTTGTCCAATCCCCTTTTAAACCCATCAAAATTGGTGGCCATCACTGATCCCTCTGGCAGTGAATTCTGTAATGTAACGTGTTGTCTCAATAAGAATGTTCTTTTATCTCTATTTCCAACTGATCAGCTTCATGGAAGGATCTCAGGATCTAATATTCTAGGAGAGGGAGAAGAAAGTGTCCCTGTCTTCTTTCTGTGTGCCATGCATTATTTTAAATACCTACATCACGTCTCCTCTTACTCATCATCTTTCTAAGCTAAACAATCCCAGTTTTTGCAGCCATTCCTCAGGCGGAGTTGCTCTAACCCTTTGATCATTTTAGTTGCCCTAAGGTTGTGTCAATCAATCAATCCCAAGTGTGCAATTCTGATCACCACACCTCATAAAAGTTATTTTAGAACTAGTAAAGGCACAAGAAAAGGCAAGCAGAACTTTCAAGGGGCTGGATGAATCTCCCTATGAAGAAAGGGCATTTTACCTTACAGAAAAGATGCACAAGGGGAACACAAATAGAGTTGTTATAAATTGTTTCATGTTGTAGAAAAGATGGATAATATGCTCTCACAGTACTTGAACTCTGATCATCCCATGAAGCTAAAGGGTGGGAGACTTAGGGCAGAAGTACATCTTCACAGACTGCAAACAACTAGAAAATGCAGTGAAAGGACCAAAGAATTTCAAGGAAGATATAGCTACTAGTTATATCTATCTCTTTTAATGTTCCTTTATCAAGCAGTTGAGAGAGAAGGTCTGTCATTTTGCTGACAACAACCATCATATCTGTCAAATCTTTCTGCACTATCATAATCCTGTCCTGAGGTACATATGCTATGATGTTCTGATGTACTATATTTAATATAAAGAACAGTATTTTTATAATTCTAGGCTAGGAGAGTATACATTTACAAAATTAGACTATACTTCTCTCTGGTGATCTTATATGTAAGACAAGCTCATTAAAACCTACAACTGGATTTAGCACTGACTGACAGAAATCCATCTATTAAATGTGCAAGCAGCAAAGATAAAGAAACAGTGGGATTGAATGGCTTATTTCAAAGAAAATGCAAGTCATTAACCCATATTTTGGAAGGAAAAGGTTCAAATCCAAAACCAAGAGATGGAAGATCAAGCCAACAAAAGCTTCTGTAACTTACAGCAACCACAAAAGGATGCTCAGATATCTAAGACATAAAGATCCTCCAAAGTATTTATTTCTATTTACTTACTTAAATTGTACTGTTTCTATACCACTCAGTAGTAAGGAGAATCCCTAAGAAATTTCCATATAAATGACGGCCTCTAAGCAGGGGCTGCCTATCAACATGCTGCTTGCACACAATCTGTGTGGATCTCAGTCTCACTGTGGGTTAAATAACCCACAGTGGGATGTTGTGTCCTTCAAACAGCTCCATTGTTAGATCACAAAGAGCCTCTGTTTGCACAGTTTTTCCTTCACCCCCACCCAGATGAGAAGGCCTGGGAAGAAAAATGCAGAAAGTGTGTAGGGTGGGAAAAGAATAAAAAAATATATTTTTCCTTTAGTGATTTTTGGAAAATTAGGACAAATGGTTACCTCTCTCACAAATGGCCCTCCTCTACACAAGCCTTCTAAGTTTTAGCCCTCGTAAGGGAAAGAAAGGCATTCCGTTGGACAGCCATCTGCTGTCAGGATGCTTTAATTTGCAGTCCTGCACTGAGCTGGGAGTGGGACCCGCTGGTCATACAGGCCCCCTTTAACGCTACTATTCTATGGTTCTGGGAATATGTTCCATAGCCCATGCATGCACTTGTGCATGCAAAATCTCCTGTAATTAATCAAGAGGTTGCTATTCCCTCTTTATAGGGCAAACCCACCTCTTTATCCCACTATTATGGTCATAAGGTATTTGGAAAATATAGACTCTGAATCTACAGCGGCTGAGGAGGGGGCACTTTATCTGCTGAAGTGTCTTTACTTCAACCAGTAATAAACTGGATGTGTTGCATTTAGATTTTTTTTCTGCTCATTCTACCAAATGGGCCCCAGCACCTGCCCCAAAGTCTGTTTTGACAGAATCGCTGGTTGTGGTGTGAAACCCGGGAGTCTTATTTCAGTGTGAAAAAGCTGTCAAGAGAAACTTGATGCAATGAAGTATCTGCGCGAAGGAATATACATTTCACAGGCAAGATATCCCAGAAGTGGACAGAATGACTTTTGCCATGTGAGTATTCCACCCACAACTGTTAAGAATAAATGAATTCCAAAAGCCTAATTGTATTTACTCTTTGCCATTCGGCTTTGACAATGAGTCTTGAAGGGTCAGCCTCCTTTTGTTTCTGGCTACTTTCACTTTCTGGTTCCCATGGGCTAGAAGGACAGTTTTTTGTGTCAGACATACTTGAATACAAGTAGAGATCTCTCCCTCCCCTCAGCCCATCTCTGAAAAGCTTCAGGGAGGGGGAAGTCTTGACAATGGGTTGGATCTCCATCCCACTGAAGTCAATGGTACCATTCCCATTATTTTATGGCACTGAGCTGCACCCAATAATCTTTTGAAGTTTGCTTTCATGAACATGAACAAATTGCTCCAATAATATGCTTACTTTTATACACAATGCTGCCCTACAACATAAAGGCCTTTTATGATGTCGATATATACTTGCTTTACTTTTTTTAAAAGCAAGGAACTTAAAACCTGCAAATCTCACATAAGGATTCTGAATTCAAGGTCAGATTTTGCAGACTAGATTTTGGGGACAAATGACAGCGTCACTGTTGCTCAGTGCATCTGAACTTGCTGGCAGAGCTCTGCAGTACCTATAAGAGGACTGTACCATTTTGGGATACACATGACTGACCACATTTGAAAGCAAACCCACCCCCAATGCCCACCAGCTGAGCCTTCTCCCTGAGAAGCTGGCTCAATCTTTTCCAGCTTCATGCGCTCCACATGCTTTGGACTGCAATTCCTAGTATGGGATGTGCTGCCTCAGCTATTAGGTGGTATATAAATGAATGAACAAATTAAATATGTGACAGTCACCATATTGGGGAAGAGTGAGCTAGCTTACAGACAGCTGCTGACCTGGGAACCCAGATGTCTTACTGAACTAAGTCAATGGACAAAATTTTGGAGAAATATCTCTCCCTCCCTCTCTCTCTCTCTGTATCTGAAGTTTCATGTGGAAGGAATTTGTTGGCTTAACTTACTGAAAAGTTTAGGAACTATCAGCAATAGTTTCTGCAGGTATGAGAGTAGTTTCAATCCTGGCCTTCAAGGTCTTTAAGCATATTCTCAAATGCAAAATATTATCACCAGCTGTTATTTTAAAGAGAAATGGTTCTCAAGCAGAGCTTGGTGGTGACTCCACTGAAAAAAGTGGAATACAGCTGGCTAATTTGCCTAGCTGTTGTTAATTTAGGAAAGGAACACAAAGGATTGTTTCAAGTAGTCAGAATTGTGATTCTGCTGCTTAGCCAAATACTTCTTTTAGAGTGAGGGAAGGGAGAAGTAGTGACCCTGAGAAACCTCTAGCTTTCAGAAAATGAAGAAGTTTGGTGGAGTTTAAGCATTTAAAAAGCAAACAACAAAAATGTATGAAGCCCAGTTAAAACCTCTGTGTCTTAAATGTAAAATGATTTTGAAGATGCATGAATGTTATGAACTTTCTAAGCTTTATAGGTTGTAGACATTTACCAAGCAAACAGCAGCTGTGAATCTATAAAACATCTACAGTGCTACTTTCCCCTGGCCTCAGCCTATAAAAGAATCTCACATCTGAAGGATGTCTGAATGTTGCAGTGATTAAGATATTTGATGCATCTATTTTTAAGGCTCAACAATTGTTAAATGCAGAAACACTCTTTTGCTTACACATCTACTCTCAGTGGACTCTTTGTTTAGCTGCAACTAGCTCTAGTAGGATTTTCCAATCACATTTTCAGATGTGCACCTAAGATGCTTCCTGTCCCTTTTTTACCACAATACCAGAGTCACTACAGAAGAAGCAACTTTGGCAGCAAAGTCTTCTTGGGTATGTCTCTATCAGTTCCGTGCAGCTCAGCCATTCCTCCTGGCAAAATTACTGCAGCTCAGGGGGTGCTGGTGAACGCCAACTTTCAAGCCTTGCTAATGATCCTAAACTGGAGTGGAGTCTAGGCTTTGACTGGGCCATTCTAAGACATTCAGGTTGTATTTTAAAACCACTCCAGTGTTACTCTGGCTGTTACTCAGAGTTTAGGCTCACTGTCCTACTGAAAGGTGAGCCTTCATCCCAACCCTAGGTCTTTTGCAGACTGAGAGAGTTTGCTCTAGATCTACTCTGCATTTGGCTTCTTCAATGCTGCCCTCAATCCTGACTAGTTTTCCAGTTTCTGCTGAGGAAAAGCACCCCTGCAACATAATGCTGCCACTGCCATGCCTCAGGATGGGGATGGTGTTCTCAGGGCAAGGAGCCCTCTTGGCTTTGCACCACACACAGCTTTGCAGCAAGGCCAACAAGCAGTTTTGGTCTCATCAGACCAGAGAATCTCTCCCCACATGCATCTCCCACATGTCTTTTTGCAACTCCAAACAGACTTTGATATAGGCTTGTTTCAGAGATGGCTTTCTTCTCATTGCTCTTCCATAAAGCCTAGCATTATGGAATATCTGTGTGATACCTGCGCAATGGATGGTTTTTCCCATCTAGCTGTGGATTTCTCCTGCTGCTTCAGCGATACCACTGGCCTCTTCTCCGATTACTGCTCTCCTTATTGAGTCACTGAGTTTTGGTGGGCAGTCTTCCTACAACTCCCCACAGTTGATCCACATTCTTTCCATTTTGTAATAAAGGAATTAATTGCATACAGAAGGAAGGAGTCCATTGCTTGTTTGTTTTAAAGAATTCAACTCTAATTGGTGTTCTCCCTATCATACATTATTCTCCCTATCATACATTTTTGTATATGAAGAACTGCATAATCTGAAGCAGCCTTCTCCAAGCTGGTGTCCACCAGGTATGTTGGACTACACATTGCAGAAACAACGAAACAAAGGAAAGAATATTTAACAAATGTTTTCTTCATGTATCTGAGGATATACTTTCTTTTGTGTTGGACTCTAACTCCCAACATCTGCCAACCAGTCATGAAGAAGTCACAACACTAATACATATAGAGAGGGCACTAGATTGGAGAAAGCCAATTTAAAGAGTAGCAATGTCATCATACAATAGCACTAATGAGTTCACTAATAGCACTATTACTCTCTGTCAGGTAATAAGGCACATAAAATTACAGCATGAACATGCATATGCCTTCCATGCTCCCCACAAGCTAATACTGATCAGTTTAGCTTAAAATGTTTTGCTCTTTCCAGTGCTTTTCATGGCTGTCTTCTTAGCAGGCCATCCAACAGGCTGTTAGATCAGCTCTTGCCAGCTTAAGACAGGACATGACTTTGCTACCCACAGCAAAATAGAAGATGGCATCCCAATTCATATCCAGAGACTGACTCGACCAGCAGCTGAACATCACTCCACAGCTGGTGCCAGGACTCCTTCCTCCACTGGATGCGAGAGTAGAAAGACTAGCTTAGGGATTTATGGGGCAGGCAAAGTGGGACATGGTTCTCTAGTGCATCACCAGTATTGCCCGTTATTGCCTTTGGCAGCTGCCTCACTCTGCCTAATGGTAGGGCCAGCCCGGGAAGTCGCGATGGTCATAATCAGCCCTGTCGTGATAGCCAGGGATGAGAGGAGCCATCAGACCAGAAACCACTGGGAGCCAGATGAACGGCAGCTCTTGCATCTTCCTTCGCCTTACATTTTAGGGTCCTTGACAAGGCAGCCAGTACACATATAATCCTTGAATTACAACTGAATTTCATAAGAGATTCTCTGAAATGTCATTCAATTATCTGTATCCACCAGCACCAAGTACACCACTACTGTGCAAAATATAAGGAAAGATTCTTACCATTATCTGTGAGAATGTGTAGCAGTGACCAATGTGAGCTAAAAGACAAAAAGAGGTTAGAATAATCAGAATTTAACATATAGATTTATTTTTTAAAATAGCTATAATCCAGGCTTGCTTGACCCGTTATCCTCCAGATGTGTTAGACTACAACTCCGAGCATCTCCCCATTGGTGTGGAGGAAGATGGGAAGATTGCTACAGCCAGTGAAATTCCAGGATACTATTCAAGGTGCTTCTCATGATCTGAAAAGCCCAAGGAAGGGCAAGGAAGGGAATATGTCAAAGAGCTTCTTCTCTCCTATGAATTTTTCAGATCATCAAGGGAGGCTCTGCTCTTGCCTCCATCATCATCTGAAGCAGGAGTGCAGGGCACCAGCAACAAAGGCATTTATTTCTTGGTGGCATCTGTCTTCAGCCTCCCTTCCTAATTCTAAGACAAGGCCCACGAGATGGAAAGGCTGGGCAAAACCAGTGATCTGGAATAGGATTCATGAGATCAGCCCAGTCATTCGTGGATAAAGCCCTAAATTCCCCGTCCCCAACTTGGTTTCTCAACTTCATCTCTCCCAGTCTTCAGCAAATTAACTTGGCAGAGAGTGCCACTGAAATTGGTGGGGATTGCCCTAGACTGTATGTATAGGTTTCAATGACTAATCTCTGTCTCCATCCCCCAGCATGGATGCCGTTGGTCTGCTTTCAGCTAAAGCATATTTGGTCTACTAGCAAGATCAAACACAAAACAGAGTTTACAGCAGGTAAAACAGCGGAGAACCAGTGAGAGTCAATTCAGTACAGTCCTTGTGTTTTGCAACACATCTGAAATGGATTTGTTTTATTTCCATTTATTTATAATAAAACAAGTATGTATGAACTGGCACACAGTGTGCTGGCTACACAGCCAAAGCTCTTGATGGACTGTGGAAACAATCCGCACTAAAATCCAAAGTGCTTCTGCAGAGCCTTGTTCTGGCAGTGTCCTTGAGAGCACGCTCTGTGCTGGGCATCACCCCCGGACAGCCTGGGCTGCTAATGCTGCTCAATAAAGTCTGGGTCAATTCTGTAATCTGTATTCCTTTCACACCACCACTATTAAACAAATGTTAAGGGTGCAGAATCAGCAGGTAAGCCCGAAAGACAGATATGCTTCCATTGGCAGGATTTTTTGTGAAACAAATGTTTGGAAGCTAAGGCTTCACACCACTGCAGAAAAGAAACTAGGGAAAGGAAAAAGGAACATGCTATGAAGCCTGTATGGGGTGCAATCTGGAACGCCAATTATCTTCTGCAGATTTTTTTTTTTCATCTCTTAGCACAGCCGATGATCAGAGTGAAAGGAGATGGGTGATATCAGGATGGCTTCCCTTCATGTGAAATGCAAATTAGGAAGCTTCTGCAAGGCAGCACAAAGGCCGGCTAGCACAATTGTGCAGCTAAGAAAGGGCTTGATCATTACTCACTAACCCTTCCCCCAGAGGTATGGAGGTGCACACGCCCTGGCCATCAGACTACTCACATGGGAAAAGATTTCCAGTCTCTCAGACCTGAAGGTGCCAAGAAGATTGGACTTAATGAAATTCTCCTGATTTTGAAGGCAGGAGGGAACAGCCCCCCACCCCAGAGAGTACCAAGCTGAGGTGATTTTTAACAGAACTCAGCAGCGTTCTCAGGCTTTAGAGCTATACTGTGTCCTCCCTCAGTCCCATTTTGTTCATCCCAGCATGCGGTTTCCCATGCTCTCAAGAAAACCTTCTCTTATGGTTTGCCCATTTGCTCATAGTTTATACATGTCCACTGGATTTCTTTACTGTAACACATCTGGGCTCGAGCAAGGTCAGCATTAGAAACAAAAAGGTCTCTTTCTCACATATGGAACACAAAGTCTTTTGTAATTGTCCTTCCCGTTTCCTGCCTGTAATTAGAAAATAAACCCCTGCAGGAAGAGCCTGCCTCCATTCTTCATCTAGCAGAATTACTTCTGAACCGCTTCAGTTGGAAGCAGGGTAGTTACAAACAAGAGGAAATACTTTCTAATTTTTATTTCATGACTTTGATTCCATATTCTCAACAGCTATTCACATTAGGAAATCCATCGGCAGATCCCAGGGCCTGACCCCCACGTGCATGGACACTGGCAGACTTGATGCTTGTGTGACTCACCTACATTGTTGGAAGGTGGTCAACAAAGAGTGGACTAAAAATATCTCATGTGTTGAAAATTTCTGGTTGCTGAGTTCATTCTGGGCACGAATTCTTCATAACACTTAGGTCTACATTTTTTTAACCACATGGTGGCAGCAAAGCTGTTATCCAAATCCATCTAATACAACCTTCCACAACTAGATAGCCTTTGGATGTTTTGGAATTTGCAAGTCTGAGCCAGCAGGGCCAAAAGTTGAGAATTCTGGACTTTGTAGTCCAAAATATCTGGAGGTCTGGTCCATGTAAAGGATATTTAGCGTATGTGTCCATACCAAAGTAGATAACCAAACATTTTACAAGGAACCAGTATTAAAGGGACACTGCCCTGGGCACTGAAATAATTCCATTGGAGGTCCTCCTTTTCAAACAATTTCCTAAAGCATCTGTCTCAGATTCAAAGCAACAACAACAGCAACAACATAAATAAATGAGAATAACAATAAGAAATTTCATGCAGCGCAAGTTCTCACTGTTTTACTCCTTGAGCCTCTTAAGAATACCACCATCTTCTCCATCCTAGCTCCCTGCCCAATTGCAAAACCACAAACATCAACACAGGGGAGCAAAGAACAGGTGTAACTTGGTGTCCTGCAGGGGTTGGACCCGATGGCCTTCTGGCCCCTTCCAACTCTATTATTCTATGATTCTAGGTTCCAGAGCTTCATGGGGTGGAGGTGTGAGAGCACTTCTGAACAACATAATTATGGACCATACAGCTTTCTCTGTGGTTAATGAAAATTAATCTTGGCATGTGTGAGAGAGCCAAGAAATCCTGCCTCCCGTCACAAGGCATGAACAAGAACAGGAGACGGCTGGGGATGTCCTAGCTCCTCAAAATATCAGTAAGGTCTATCCTCATGGCCCTGGAGGCAAGGTCCTCCCAAAACCTAGCTGCCCTCCAGCACTTGTGGGAGAATTAATAGCAGAAAGGGGTTAGACTGTTCTCTCTCCAGCCTTCCATGACAGGAGAACAAGGAGCCCTTGATACAAGCAAAGAGCAGCAGTTTTGGAACAAACTGAGGAAAACTTTCCATAAAGCAGAACTTTCCTAACAATCCAAAGGGACTGTAAAAGTTTGAAGTACCAAAAAAAAATTAATACCAGTTAACACACATAGTGTTTGATTTTATATATTGCTCCATTCTCATAGGCGCTGATTTACAAGAGATTTTTAAATAATTAAAATTAGGCTAAAAACAAGCATATTAAATAAAACAAACTAATCTGGGAAGGCCTGTCAGAAGAGATACATCTTTAACTTCCTTCTGAAGATAGCAATCTGGGATATCAGATGCATCTTTCTGACCAGGCGATTCTACACTTTAGGGACAACCGCTGAGAAAGTCCTCTGGATAGTTGACATTAATCTTACACAAGCAAACTGCAGAAGATTCTCTCCAGAGGCCCTTAGTGGGGGAGATGGAACATATGAAGAAAGGTGCTGCTGAAGGTATTTTGGACCAACACCTTTTACTGTTTCTGGAAACATACTGGCAGTATAATCAAGTTAACCTCTGCTTGAAAATATGCAGGCATCAGAAAACTTTGCTTCTGTTCCCCTAACTAAGCAGGGTGGGACCATCACTCAAATATCAAGTTCTTGGCCCTGTTAAAAACAGAGCACAAAAATAGTCACCCCAACCTTCCCAAGTAATAAAATTCTGAAAAAATCCTCATTCATATGCTAAGCAGTTACTCTAACCATCATAGTGAGTAGTCAATTATCATACACTACTGATTTGTTTTTAGCCTGGATTTAAATCTAGCGCAAGGGACACTTGTAAGAAAATACAGGCAGCCACAATATGCATTTCTGCACTTATTATTTCTAAATATACTCAATTATCACATGCCAAGTCCCTAAACATGCATGAATAACAGGTTCTGAAACGGCTGTGCTCAATAGCTGCACCACTTAAACATTTCAAATCCCACGTAGAATTCATTTCTCAAGCAAGGGTAATTGTTGATTTCAACAACACCATGTACGCCAAAGTAAAATCTGGACTCAAAGTATAAAGTAAAACTAAATCCTGCAACCATAAAATGGATGGGTTATTTAACCCACAGTGAGGTGTGTCATGTGTGGGTTGTCCAAGCTGCCATTTTCAAGGCCTGCGTGTTGTGTTGGAAGCCATGTTCTTTAAATTCGCTCATGAGGGTTAAACCAGAACAGACAAGGTTATGTAACCCTTGTTTAATCCTTGCATAACTCATCTGGTTAAATGGTTCACTCAACATAAACTGGTATCCCAGTCCCTAAACTGGGGCTGAATATGCATATGGTGTTTATGGACACCATGGCTCATTGTGGGGTGAATAACCCATGACAAGCAACACCGTTTCATGTGCACCAGGTAACTCGGTCACACATCAAGAATGTATGAGGTTGTGGAAATTTATTCTCTCTCCATTAGTCTTCAGGAATGCGAAGGAACGATTCAAACAACTGAAATCTGCCACTGGAAACTGTACTAACCACAATCCTTGGCATGTCTGTTCAAAGCTTAAGTTGCCATGGATTCAACAGGGCCTTTTCTCTAATCAGTGTCTTTAGGAATGCAGCCTCAGCCTCACCTCCAAGTGGCTTCGGAGACTTCGTGAGTCTGTGTTAACATACTTCCAAGTCTATTTCTTGGTGAAGAAGACTAAAAATCTCCTACTCTATAAGCAAAGCCAAAGTGGAAAAGAGCTGAATTTTGTACTCTTCCCAATTTTTGTGCGTGAGATGTCCCCACCCTCCCAATATGTTTAATAACTATTAAATTATTAGCATTTGGCAAATAGCCATTCACAAACTGTATCAGTGGTCAGATACAGTTCCCAGGACACCAACTACTGCTTCTGTTTATAATACCTTTAGTTTATATTATTTCTAAATTATCAATCAATTGCTACATAAGAGATAGATTTATCCACCTTCTCCTCCTCCAAGCAGGGCAAGGCTTTACCTAGCATCTGATCTGTTATGCACTAACGTTTGCTTCATTTTTAAAGCCCGTCACTTCTGTTCATAAGTGAGCTTCCAGCAACACTTTGTTGGCCTCTCCAACAGAGAAACACATCCATGCGACAGAACAGGAAAGGTCAGTGTGTGGTCCTCCAGATGTTTTGGCCTAGAAGACCCAGCACAGCCACTGATAAGGGATGCTAGGCATTGTAGGCCAAAACTTCTGGATGGCTGGAAGCTGTCCACCCCAGCCTTAGATATCTAAGTTCTGTTCAAGAACATTTATTAGCATGGAGCTACAGGTCTCCGGCTTGGCACAGAACAGCCTCAATTCTCAGCCCTTTAGGCAGGGCTGGGGAACAACTGCGAACCACCTGACCTTGGAGGTCAGATGTGATCTAAGGGCAGCTTGCACTGTTGCCCCACAAATGCCATGCCACTTATCTCTGTAAGTTGCTCTGGGGGGCTTTTATTTTGGCAAAGGGGAGGATAGTAGATGCTGTCAGTACATAAATACTTCTGCATTATTCAAGCACCCAGATTCCTGCGAGAAGCAACAGACTGAGAGGCAAAGCGATGTGGGCGATTGCACAGGAGTAGCCATGCCGGCTCCTTGCAGCAAAGGCAATCTGGTGGCACGTTCGGACTAAAAAGGGATGTCGCTGGCGGGCCCTCTAGATCAGCCTTCCCAACCTTGCGCCTCCCAGGCAAGCTGCAATGGCAATGGCCCTGCTGGGTGGGAATCCTGGCAGTGGCGGTCCAAATCCCCGGAACGCCACCAGGTTGGCGAAGGCCGCTCCGGATCGGCGGCTTCTTGCCTCCTCTTTCTCCCGCCCGCCCGCCCGGAGCCGCGCGTCCGGGAGGACCTCCCCTTCGCTGCCCAGCGCTGGGGCGTGAGCGCTGCGGGTCCCCGCACATTTGGTTCGCCGGTGCAGGGGACCGCAGGCCGACGGCGCTCCCCCCACGACCAGATGCAAAGCTCCGCGCGCGCGCGCACGTACTTCGACGGCGGGCCCGCAGCTGGCGGCGGCCACTAGCCCGCGCTGGCTCTTCCTTCCTGCGGGAGGCGAAGGGGAACAGGCGTGGCTGGGCCTCGCAACGCGCAGGAAGCCCGCGGCTGCGCAGGGACCTCGCCCCAGCCTCGTTCCGCTTTCGCGACGGGCTCTCTTGGCCCATGGCGCCATCTGGTGGGCATGGGAGGCATCACAAGCCGGGCAACGCGCCCCGGTGATACAGCGGCCGAGCTGCAGTCTCCAGAAGAGTTTGTGATGACATCAAGGACCACTTATCAGCTTGAAGGGCACGCACGCATCGTCCAACATTATACGGAAAGACCGAGTCAGATAGAAAGGCAAATAAAAGCTCTTTCCCCTCGCGTTAGCACGGTGGGTTAAGTTGACTCCATTATTTTAGCAGCTGCTTCACAAATGTGCTAGATGTGAATGAGCAGAATGGATCGATTCTGTTGCAAAATTCTTTAGGGATGAGGACACCGGGTTAGTTCTGTTCCTGCTTAATTACAAGAGGAAAGTCAGCTTGTTGGCAACATTCTGCAGGTGTGCCATGTACCTAAAAGCGTTCTCTCTGCCCCTCTGTAAACATAGATCGTTTTATTTACAACAAACAATCAAACCTCTTCTGCAATTACACAATGATGAAATTGCAAGTATTGGTATTGTAGTGATTTTCCCATAGGGGTGTGTCTGATTAAATAATTTAGATAATAATTTTAAAAACTATTTGTTCTATTTTCTGCCATTTTTATTTTGCACAATATAATAACATTTTATTCTTGCACAATTTCACGAACCTTAAAAAAGGAAGAAATTAATTCAGAAAAATGCTGTTTTAACATTTTAATGGGTCAGTTTCTAAGGAGAATTCTGAAAGGCTTTGCCAGAAACCAAAAAGATTTCCCTCCTTACACACTGCCATTTTCTTGTTCCAGAATCAATCCAGGTTGATTCGAATGATATTGTATTTTAAATAACAGGGCCTATTCACACTGCGCCTTCTGAGCAACTTTCCCATAAAGAAACCTGTGAGTCTTCAAAGTGGTACAGATTTTGCTGTATGCCAAAGTTTCAACCCTGCCCTTCTCCAAAAAAAAGTGGCATCAGACAAGCATCAGTAGAAAGTAAGAAAAACTTGAAAAATGCCTCCTTCTTCACTTTCTCCCCACAATGCGTAATTCTGAATATCTCTATCATGTCTCTCTCCACTGTATGCCTTTCCTGTCATGTGTGACTGTAACAATCTTCCAGGCACGTTGCCAGTATGGCCTGGTTGAATCTGTACTGCAGAATCATAGAATCATAGACTAGAAGAGTCGGAAGGGGCCATGGAGGCCATCGAGTCCAACCCCCTGCTGTTGCAGGACACTACGTTACACCATCCCACTCAGAGGGCTGTCCAGGTTCTTTCTGAATGTCTCCAATGTGGGAACGCCCACCACCTCTCTAGGCAGCTGGTTCCACTGTTGTATTGCTCTGACAGTGAGGAAGCTTTTCCTGATGTCCCGCCTGAATCTGGGTTGCCGCAACTTGAATTGATTATTCCGTGTCCTATACTCTGGCCTCAATGAGGAGAGATCTTGACCTTCCTCTTTGTGACAGCCTTTGCAGTACTTATAGAGAGAGATCATTTCCCCTCTGAAGTCTTCTCTTCTCAAGGCTGAACATGCCCAGTTCCCTCAGTCTCTCCTCTTAGGGCAGTGTTTCCAAACCTGGATCATTTTTGTCACCCTCCACTGGACCCTTTCTAATTTACCTGCATCTTTCTTAAATCTTGGTGCCCAAAACTGGACACAGTATTCCAGGTGAGGTCTGACTAGTGCAGAGTATAGAGGAACTACTACTTCCCATGATTTGGAAGTAACACTTCTGTTAATGCATCCTAAAATAGCATGTGTCCTTTAGGCAGCTGCATCGCATTGTTGGCTCATTTTTTGCCTATTGTCCACAATTACTCCAAGGTCTTTTCCTTGTTCAGTTCTGTTAAGCCATGTATACCCCATCTTGTACTGATGCCTTTGGTTTCTTTGGTAGTGCTTCTTAAACTGCAGTCTGACCTTGCTTCTGCACTAAGTACATTGGTTAAAAGTCATACTGTTATAGGATTAAACACTGGTATATTTCTGAGGTTTTCACTGCTGTTGTCATTCTGAACTAATCAGAGCAGCATTTACCAGCAACCAAATAGCTTCTAAGCAACTTCCAATGTCAAGCTGTGCAGAAATTTACAAAATTGATCTCTACAATCCTGCTAGCCTTTCTGTAACACAGTATCGAACCTTAATTATCATGGCAGTCTTGGTTTTCCAGTTGGTTCTCCAGTTTCTGTCAGTCCCATAGGCAACAAGTAGTGTAAGTTCAAAGAGCAGAAACACCGACTTTCAGACTTACATGAGGCATTCATTGCGTACCGCTCACAGTCACGTATGAGTTCTTTAGAAGGTGTTATGACCCTCAAGTTTCAGTTCTGCTTTTGAACAGTACCTTTGACAGGGAAAATATGGTATTATACACATAAAGTGAAAGTAACTGTTTCCTGCTCTTGTATACTAGCATACTGCTATACCACAGTGCCACCTAGAGGTGTAGAGAAGAAAAGCACCCTTCCTGGAGTGCTTCAACCTCAATTCTGCCATGAAAGTAATAGATGAGGCAGATTAACAGCTCATGTAGAAAAGCCCCTGGTTTGGTGGCCATATTTCAAATATCCAATATTTGAGAGGTTCTTCTAATTGTAGTTTAATATATTTTGATACATTTAATAGAGGACTTGCATAACTTAAGACGGGTTTCAGTCCTTATTTTGATGTCATTATTTTGATGTTAAATGCAGTTTTCAGTGGATTGATTGGATTAAAGGAGAAACAAGCAAAGGAGACAGGAAATTGAAGTGAAGAAATAAATGAGCAGAAAGCCTTTTGTGAGTTGCCATGTCAACAGTGTCCTCAGTAGTAGCCAGTTAAAGAAAAAGAAAAAAGCATGATTTAAGGTCTTAAGAAAAATGGTAGCAATGGAGCTGTGAAATGCTAGAACTCTTATCATCACTTCACTATACCTACCACTCCAAATCCAGTTTTAAATCTTTTTTTTTCTTAAAGGAAACACTTTTAAAATAAATGCCTGGACCTACTTAGCTTTTGGATTTGAACAATAAAGAATTAATCCAAATCTTTTGTTCCTCAAGATGTGCTTAAGCCATTATTAGGTTTCCTTTGTTTTCTACAGGTTTTTTATTTTTGAAACACACTGTCACCTTAAAGATAGCTGACATATTTTCACTGTTCAAATCCTGCTTTCTGCTGATAGAGTGGAGCAAAGAGGGACAGTTGGGTGGGAAACACAGCACTTTTTAAGGACTCCTTGCCAATGAGTCCCAGAGAATCTGGAGAACCTGTTGATTTACACCAGGTGTCACTATTTCCAGTACGTCTGAATGGTGCTTCCTTATCAATACATTTCAGCTTTTATTCTTGAATTGTCAGAGAGTGGCAGTCTTCTTCTTGGACTCTGCAGTGGAAAGCAATGGAAAGCATAGCAAAACATCTTGTTATGCAGGATGTCCTCCACACCATGGCAGCAAGACTTAACTTAAATCAAGCAGTACCAGGAAAAAGTTGTGGACCTTCCCCACCCTGCTGGCTCAGGCTCTAAGTGTCCACCATACAGACACCCCCTCCCCAGTCTCCTTTCCCCTGATAGATGATAGTTGACATAAAGAGCCCTTTGAACAGGTGTGTCTACTAACCGCAACAGGAATGATATCTACCTAACAACAGGGGGGGGCGGGGGGGGAGGCAGAGCAAGATGATGGCAGCCACGGTTACTGAAAGAAAATGAAATGGGGAGAAGAATCAGACTTGACTGTGAAGTTACAGCATCTGCATGTTCAGAGTCGATGCTGGAGAGGAGGGATCTGCAGACATGCTTTTGGTAATATCTTGTCCGATGAAGAGATTTGGAGATCATAAAAGCTTGTATATTTGGGTGATCTTTTGTCTAAACTCATAAAGGTATGACACTAATAAAGATCATGGTATCATCTGAGAGTAATTTCTGTGAGCAGCACAAGAAATAGGCTAGGTAACTTAGTGTCTCTGTGTGGCCAGAGCCTTCAAGAATTGCATGGTGGATAGCAGACGCCATCTTTCTTGCCATAACTGCAGGCTAAATATTGCTGTACCAGGATGGTGATACCCCAGAAGTATGGTGGGCTTCCTTTTTTGCACCGTTTCGACTTGGTTGCTAACTTGGGGAAGAATGTGGAACCCTAACCCTAAACTTTAAGGTCATCATGACCATCTCTATAGCCACAAGCCAGAAGCAAGTCCAAAATTTAAGCAATGGTGTTGATTCATATGTATAAATCCGTTCTATCAGTTTTCTACACCAAAACGAATGGGTCTAAACTTCCCATTCAGGGCATAGTCATGTTAACTTTTTTAATAAAAACATGTTGCTGGGAACAACAAATGTTGGTGTTAGGAAAATCCTTTTCGCTCCAACTACTGTGGGGATTGTATCTAAGCTCAGAAGATTCAGGAATGTCTGGTGTGGGGAGTGGCACAGAACATCAGTATCCCAGCTAATCAGAATGCCACTTATAAATATGAAGAAAATGGTAACATTTCAGCATTTTATGGCAGAACAAGTAGGACAGAGAGAAATCAGACTTTCTACAAATTGCAGAGTTACTGTATTCCCGGAAGACAGGGTTCCATGAGAATCATGCAGGGGTTTGGTCCTATGATTACAGTGAAATTGTAAGGTCTTCATTCCTTTGCTTCATTTAAAAGAGAGAAGTCTGTGACTAGGTAAGGTCTTCATTCATTTTAATCCAGAGCCTTCTCACACATCTCTTTAAAAGCAGATTAATTCATTTTAAAGCCAAACGGTTTCATTCAAGTGGGTCCAGATTGCAGGGAATAATGATCGCACAGGCTTATACAGGAATAAAATGAGTGCTGCACCAGAAATGTGCTTGCAACTGCCATCAATAACACCAAAATTTGATTTTCATTGTGGCAAAAAACAAGCACATCCAAGTAATTAAAATGA